AACAGGGAAATGAGACCAGAGACCCAAAGAGGGAGACTGTGCCAAAGTGGGGACCTCATCCTGGGGCAGGGAAAAGCCGTGGAAGGTTTACGCAACAGTGAAGTGCACTGTGGTTGGTGCTTAGGGTGCTGCTGGCTCACAGAGGAGAGGAGGCCAGGGGGCAGCAGTCAGTGGGGACCTGGACTGAGGTGGGGCCACGGGGCAGGAAAAAGGAGGTGGGTTTTGGAGGTGGGGCCACGGGGCAGGAAAAAGGAGGTGGGTTTTGGAGGCAGCCTCTTCCCTCGCTGGTACTTGGGGTGACCCGGTGAAGAGCCACTTGAGATGCCCAGGGCTAGCATGGGCGGGACTGGCGCAGCCCATCTGTACACAGGTAGCAGGAACTTCAGGGGTCGGCGTCATGGGTGTGCCTGTGTGTGTCTGGGGAGTTCCAGGGCTCTGTGGCTGCAGGATGAAGGCCCCAGAGGAGGGGCCCAGCCTTGTGGCTGCCTGGCCTGCCTCAGGGACCGGCCCCCAGCAGAGTGGTAGCTGTCACAGAAACCAGCATCTCTCCCCTCACCCCTGCTGAGCCCAAGAATGGGAGGAACCGCAGCACATCTGCCTCTGCGGGCTCCAGCAGGTGAGCCGGAGAGGCGCTCTGCCGTGTTCTGGGGCCCACACTGTCTCTTACATAAGTGCCGTTAAAAATATGCCAGGAGTTCTCACTCGCCTGCTGTGCTCTGGGGGAGCCCCCACCTGTGCACAGGGAAATTGCCCCATGGCTCGGAGCTGGCACGTGGTGGTTCTGACTGCATATCTGTTCCCTCGCCTTGAGAACCGTGAGTGTCAGAGCCTCGGACCTTTCCCAGGGCTTCCTCTTAGCAGCCAGGAGGCAGGTTCCTTACTGTTCCCACATTCCCATCCTTGTCAGTCCCGGGTACACTGCCCTCACCCCTGTTCTGGTCCACGGTCACACTGGTGGGGAGTACGGCATGCCCCGTGCTCCACATGGGTCAGTCCCTCCTCCTCCTCATGGCCTCCACCACCGCCAACCCATTGCTTTCCCGGAACTCAGGTTCTGAGCGCGGCAGCTGCCTGCATAGGCACCAATGGCAGCTCTGCACTGGCTGAGCCACGGAAGTGGGACAGATGACTTTAAGTATTCATGCAGCTTTGGGCACCTGCACCCTGCTCTATGCTTCCCACAGTGGAGTCCCCTGTCCCTGTGTGGACTGAGAGGCGAATGGGGCAAAGTCCACTGCGGGTCTTTTTGTGGCAGTGGGGAAACAGGAGGTAGCTCTGACCTTGGTGGCATGATTTGAAGTTGGTTGGCAAAAATGATCCTGTCAAAGGCTGTAGCATTACAGGGACAGGGTGACAGTGTGGTGCAGAGGGGTGATGGATGAAGGAAGGGCTTGGAAGGGGCGTTGGGAGGAGGACCGGAGGGGGGTCTGGTCCTGGCCTAGATCATGGCTGTGGACATCAAGTGGCCAGCTTTAGGCAATAGATGGCTTTAAAACTGTCCTGCGGTCCTTTCTGCTGGGCGGCCACACACATACCTCTCAGCTCCTGTGTGGCCTGAGTCAAGTGAGGTGTTATATATTTAAGGCAAAGATGGCCCTCCCCTGGGACTGACCCCATGTGCACCGTGACCTCAAACTTGTGATCTTTCTGTCTCCCCATCCCCATAGCTGGGATCTTGAGTCATTGCCAGTAGGTCTTTCTCACGTGCCCCAAGCTGTGCTGAGTCAGGCCTGCCAGGAATCCCGGTCTCTTGGAACTCACCTCCAAGTTATGGATGAGGAAACCGAGGTTCTAAGACAGAAGCCCGCTGCCCAGACACGGGCCATCCAGGAACCAACCTCAGACTGACCAGCTGGGAATCCTTGGCTGAAAGGAGGGAGCCGACCAGGCCCTGTGGCCTCCCTGTGTCTCCCCCTGTGTCAGACGGGGCTGGGGGTCACACTGCAGGTTGCTTACACCCCACCGAGCACCTGCTGTGTACCAGCTTATCTGTGCCACTGCAACCGCAGCCTGGTGGAGGCCAGAAACCCACAAGGGAAGGCCACACACCGTGGTGTCTGCCGGCACTGGGTAATACCAGGGCCTAACCCTTGGGCTTGGTGAGGGGCGGTGTTATCTTGGGGTGCTGGAGTGGGGGATGGCCTGCTCCATGCCCTGAAGCCTGGAGACAGACAGCGTCTCTCTGGCTGGGACAGGTTGGGGCTTGAGGCAGCTTCCATGGGCCTGATTTATCAAGGCAGCGGCCCTGTAGCCCAGGGGAGCCACCGTTGCAGGTTGTGCTGGGTCCCCCAGTTGAAATGAATTGGATGAGGGGATGAGTTTGGTCATGCTTGGTTGTCAAGTACCAAAGCACAATATCCTCCTCAAAATGTTCCCTGAGGATGCCGGACTGCACGTGGCTTCACTCTCTCTGAGCCCTAGGTGCTTCTGTTGAAGTGGGGAGATGGTCACAGGCTGCTGGGCTGGCTGGGCGTGGAGCTAGATAACACACAGAAGATGTTCTGTTGTGTGCCTGGCATGACCTCTTGCAATCCAGCCCGAGCCAGAGGCCTGCTGTCTGTGGGACTGGGGTGCAGCTTGCGGAGGAGTGGGCTGTGACTTGGGAGGAAACAGCTCTGGGCCATTTGGCCCTTGGGGTCCATCTGCAGGCATCACTGAGCTAACCTGCATCCTGCATCCTGGAACGGTGCTCAGGACATTCCAGCCACTTTCACCTTCCTGGTGTTTGCAGCCACAGAGCGAGGGAACCTGGGTTTGGGAGCTTGGACTTGGTCTTGTCCAGGTTCTGCCTGCTGGGCCTCAGTTTCCTCATTCATGAGTGGGCTCAGGTATGCAGGTGTGGGGGCTGTGCACTGGGGTCACTGGAATCCAGGGTCTGTGGGTGCTGGGTGACCCTGCACCCGGTCCCTCCACCTTCCAAGGTTCCTGTTCCTAGGAGTCCCTGGCTATGGCTTCACCTTACCACCCAGCTCTGCCACTGTGGGATCCATGCCTCAGCTTCCCTGTCTGTGAAAGGGGGCAGAGATGCCAATGTCACAGGCAGAAAGTGCCCCTGCCAACCCCCAAAAGGGGGTTTTGAGGATTTTCTAGGTAGCTGCAAGGGTCCTTTGCCTGTAGACCATCCAGGTCCTGTAGTGGGACCTCCTGATCCAGGCCATAGACGTCTCCGTGTTACCCACCAGGCATCTGAGGGGCGGGGAGGGTCACACAGCCTAGGAGCTGGGACTGTGCTCTGGCCCCAAAGTGACACTGCCTACTGGTATCACCACCCCACACCGTGCCTGGTCCATTGTAGGCCTGCCCTGAGGGCTTACAAACAAATGAATGAGAGAGTGGAGGAAGAGGGGCTCCCTCCTCCGCAGCTCAGGTTCTATCCAGCACGCGGGTCCTACAGGGAGGGGATCCCCATGTCTTCCCCCATGGCCTGGCCTCAGCCACGTGGCCTGTCCCTCCGGGAGATTTTCTCTGTGGGCTGAGGTTGGGCTCCTGGAGGGAAGTGGGTGGCCAGGGCTGCTGGGCTTGCTGTCTTCCTGGCTGGCGGGTTGTGGAGTGTACTATCAGGGTTTGTGCCCTCTGTGGAAGCTTGGCCCCACCCCAATTTCCTTTCTAAAGAGGCAGAGATTCACCATCAGCCCATAACATTTTTTTTTGTGTCGGTACTGGGGATCGAACTCACGACTCCCTGCTTGGAAGGCAGGTGCTTGTGCCGCTAAGCTAAATCCCCAGCCCTATCAGCCCATAACTAAACCCATGTTCCTGCCCTCTCTGAGAAAGGGGAAAAATAAAATAGCCAGTGGCCTCTTGGCAGCATCCTCCAAAACGACTGCACCTTCCCTTTCCTACCTTAGAACTCCCACTTCTGATGCTTATCTGGCCCTGTTCACACTCAGGTGTGAATGGTTGCCAGGCCCCTAACCTCAAGTGCATCAGATGTGGACATTGCTGTGATGCGTGGTGTTTCTGGGTCTGTGTGGCTGAGTGGGACAGGAATCGAGGGGATTTTTATTGACATAAAGAATAGATTCCCACACGTCAGTCCTCAACACCTGTCATGCAGCAGCGGGAGCTGGGGCTCGGTGCAGTTCTGGTAGGAGGTTGAGTTCAGACTCACAGTCTTTACTGCCTGGAGTACCGAGTCCTGCGCTCTGTGCTTTGAGGTGCCTTGTGCACACGAGAGGGCCTTGTTGCTGGGGCTTCTGACAGGTCGCTGTGTGCCTTATGGGTGTTCCATTTTCCGGGGGAAGTATCTGCCTTGGGTCACTTTGTGGGGCGGGACTGGAGTCTCCACCCTTGGGTTGGAGCTGTGTGCCTCCAGCAAAGTCTCTGGGCTGTAGACTTGGGCTCCATAAAACAGGAGGAGAAGGCCAAGCCCAGAGGATGGGAGGGAATGAGAGCAGAAGCAGGTGCCCCGGGGCTCCTCCCTTCCACCCCCTGCACAGAATCTCCAGGGATGGGGGTAGAGACAGGAAGGTGGGGAACCACAGGCCTCCATCTCTGCCTGCCCCTCCCTGTGCTGCTCCTGTGTGAGCTGGGGCAGCGCATTTTCCCTCCTGGCTCTCAGCTACCGAGGAGTGCTAGGCACTGACTGAGGAGGTCCCCAGGCATGGTAGCCCCTCAGCAAACGTCCAGCTGGAAGACAAGAAAACGAGCTGTGTTCTAGATGTGGGCAGGCCTTTCCTCTACACTTTCACTGGATCTGGTCAACTCCTACATGTCCTTTGGGGCCCAATTTAGATACCCCTCCTCTAGGAAGCCTTCCTGAGTAACCTGGACCACATGCCCAGGTCAGTCTTTTGGGAATGTTAGATCATCAGAAATGACAGAATCCCGCCTATCCTGCCAACTCTTACTTTCCAAGGGGGAGACTGAGACCCAGTAGGCATGAGAGGTTCCCTCGGCTGAGGCCTCCCAGCCAAGCCAAGGGCAACCACCCTGACCCACCAAGCCCCAGAGCCAGCCTGTTAGCTAACTGACCTCTTCTCTCCCTTCTCTCTCTGCAGCCCACGACCTCCCGGCGAGCAAGGCCTCAGCCACCCAGCCCGGCAGCCACTTGCAGTGCCTGTCTGTCCACTGCACCGATGACGTGGGTGATGCCAAGGCCCGTGCCTCTGTGCCCGCCTGGCGGTCCCTGCACTCCGACATCTCCAACAGATTTGGGACATTTGTGGCTGCCCTGACTTGAATCGACAAGAGAGGGCCCTCCCCAACCAGGCGCCCCTGTGTTCCCCCCTCCTCCCCTCCCCTGCCCTCACCCCGCTGTTAATTTGAAAGGGCCACTATTGCTGAGTGGATGATTTTCTTTTTCTTTCTTTCTTTCCTTTCCTTTCCTTTTTTTTCCCCCTTCTTTTTTTGGTCTTGATTGGTACCTGCTTAGTGGCATATGGACCCGAAAGGGTTAATTTAAAGGGGCGGGGGCGGGGGAACCTCAAAGTATTTTTTTTTTTTTAAAGAAACTGTCTGCCACAGTATGTTACCAGTGTTAACCCTCGGCAGTTAGCAGACTTTGCTGAAGCCTTTTTCCTGCTAGAGACTCCCCCGTTTCTCTGTCATCTTGGCATACACTTTTAGATGACCTCTTTCTTTGTTTTATTATCATGCTGCTTGTGTGTCCAAGTATTTCATAATAAGAAAAGAATTGCTTCCTTTTTTATTCTCCTTTCTTCTTCTTTTTCTCCTTTTCTGCCCCGCCCCCACCCTTGCTTTATTTTCCTCCTCCCTCTCTGCTTTGCTCACTATGAGAATGGTAACCCTGAGAGTAGCAGTCCTGGACTATGGCCGGGGAAAGTCAGATCAGACCGGCATCACAGTGTCACACATGGACATCCAGCTGTCACGGGTCACGCGGGAGCCAAACAATTAATACCCTTCTTAGGTATTCTGCCTGTGACTTTGTTTTGTCTGTTGAGATTGAGAGAGAGAGAGAGAGAGAATGGTTTTCTTTCCAACAGACACACTCTGGGCCTCGGGCTGTGTTCTGTTCTGTCCCTTTGCTCAGGAAGGGTGCAGTGGAGGGAGCTGGGGGACAGGAAGTTAGATGGGAGGCTCCTCTCCTCTCCTTTTTGGGCCTCCCTCCCGCCCTCCTTGGCTCCCTCTGCAGGGTGCCAGTTCTGCCTTTTGCAGAGTGTGGGCCAGAGGGTGGACCCTTCCAGCTCAGAGGCCTGGTTGCCGGGCTCCTTGCTCTTTCCTGGCCATGCACTCTGGGCAAGAAGTGGCCTGGGGGTGTCTCCCCACTTTTCTCATCCACTCCCCAGTCCCATCCTGGGAGGGATGAAGAGCCCCTAACTCACCCTGAAAGAAATCCCCCTTTTTCAGATTTTTCTTTGCAAACTTCTGGCGGCTTAGAGGAGGGACCCAGAGAACGCAGCTAATGGTTTCGATTCCTGGGCCTTTTGTTGTTTAACCCTGCGTTTCCCCATCTGATTTGATTTCACTCTGTTTTAAAACTAGAACCATGTCCCCCATCTCATGAGGAGGCAGAGCTAAGCAGTGGCCCCAGAGGCCTGGTGAGGGCCGGGATGGGTACCCCTGGGAGTGGTGATGCCCACGCCAAAGGCATTTGTGACTTGTGGGGTTGTGGGGGGCGTGTAGGTTCCTTGGCGGGTCCATGGGTGACTCTTCCTTCCTATCTTATTTCCGTTGTGGTGGCCGAGGGTGTCCCCCTTAACTTTTGGGTTTTGAGCCATCCCACTCTCCCAGAGTTTACAGGTCCAGCTTTTTTTTTTGCAAATGACCTTCAGGTTTGGGGCTCACTACACAACACCCATATTGTTTATTTCAAAGAACTCTTCAGCAAAGCCAGAGCAGCGTCCAGAAAACCCTCGCTCCTCCATCTCCCTCCTCCTCTTTCCTTGGTAGGCCCTTTAGGCTGAGGTCTGAGTCCAGGTGTCCGAGGTTCTTGCTGGACAGCCTGGCCAGGGACAGACCCCAGCTGCAGAGGGCAGACAGAGCAGGTGGTGTTCAGGTAACAGCAAGAAAGTTCGAGCTGTCGAGGTCCCGTGCTCCCACGGGCATGGGGAGGGACGGATGGACGTTCCCCCTGCGTGGGCTGCGGGAGAAGCGGCCGGATTGTGGACAGAGGAGGACCCCCACCCCTGCTATGTACAGCTGTTCGAGAATTTCATCCTTTTCCTTTTTAAACAGGAATGGTTTCTCCTTAATTGCTTAAGGCCGGGGAGCAAAGCGTCTTAACTTCTGTCTTTGACTTTCCCAGCGTGGACTCCATCAGCATTTGGCCATGAGCTCAAAATCTTGGAAACCTCTGAAGTTTTAAACATTCTCGCTCCCCACGACCCCAGAATGGAACAGCTTTTAAAACAGCCTTAAGCAAAAGGATGTAATTTCATTAAATTTGGTTTAATGGAAAGAATAAAAGCAAATGAGAAACACACCCGACGCACGAGCCCCCGAACACTGGTAATCGGTACTGCATAGCGAGCTCTTCGGGAACGAAACGAAATGTTGTTGCACATGTAAAATATGAAAACTTAACTCTGCTGTGTGTTAGGCAATCCTGTCATCTTTTTTGACTCTTAAGAGAAATTCATTTCTGAAATGCTTGGTTGGAAGACTGTGACAATAGCTCATGAAATTGAGTGTTATTTTTTTCTTTCTTTTTTAAAAAAATATGTAAAGTGCAGTCTTCCTTATTCATGCATATTGTATATACCTGTATATGTTTTCCTGAGCAGCTAAATAACAATAAATATGACGTTAATGGTGACGGAGGTATGTTTGTGGGTGGGGCTTGCTGTTCCTCCCCATCTCCTTGGGATGCTTCCTGTTCTCTGGGTTATGGGGGTGCAGGTCTGGATGCTGGGGTGAGTACGTGTGTGTGTGTGTGTGTGTGTGTGTGTGTGTGTGTGTGTGTGTGTATTTTTGGTACCGGGGATCGAACTCATGACTGTGTGCTTGTGAGGCAGGCACTTATGTCGCTGAGCTGAACTCCCAGCCCATGTTAAGTTAGGGTACCTCAGGGCTTGTCAGCATCGACACTGTCATTTTGGGTGTGATAATTCTTTCTTTGGTGGGACCAGACTGTCCGGTGCCCTGTGGAATATTCCAGCATCCCTGGCTTCTGCCCATCAGCTCTCAGTTGCACCCCACTCCACTGTGGTGGCCAAAAATGTCTCCAGCCTCTCTCAGTGTCCCCTGGGGGGAGACTGCCTGGGGAGAGAACTGCTGGGATCTGGGAGCCCAGCGGGGAGGGAGGCAGAGGGAAGGGGCAGCTGGCTGCACCGTGTCCACGGCAGTTACTCTCTGCACGGCTTTGTGACTCCTCGCAGGTTATGTAGCTTCTCCACTCTGCCTCGCCCTCGTCTGTGGAGTGGATCCAGCTCCCTGAGTTGTCATAGGTGAAGGAGGGGGCTCTGATGTTCAACCACCAGCATCAGGATCGCCCTGGGGGCACGCACACGGGATTCAGGTGACGTCCTGCAGCCACGCTGTCCCAGGCTGGACGCTGCTTCCCCTGCCTACTGCTCTGGGCCTGACTATGACAAGTGCTGTAACTGAGGGCCCATGTCTCATTTCCAGTGTGGACTGGGGATGCAGCTCGGTGGGTGTTAGAGCACTGGCCAGCACACACGGGGCTGAGGTGCAGTTCCAGCAGCTCAGACTCACACACGAGCCACCTTTCCCATGGCGTTGTCACGTTGGCTTCACCTTGGCACCTGCTGCCTCAGGTTCAGACCCTTCCTGCCCCCCCTCTGCACCATTAACACACCAAAGTGCGGTCCGCAGGACTGTGGCAGACGTCTGCGAACACCAGATTTTTAGCTTCAAATCATCCGTTGAACTCTTACTTTATACATAATCCCCACAGGTGCAGTCACCTTTCCCAGCCCACCGCAGATTGGGGGGGCTGCGGCTGGTGGGTTCCCTGACAATTACTTCGTTTTATCTTGTGTTTTGAGGCAGGCCTCACTTCGTAGCCCAGGTTGGCCTTGAACTTGCAGTCCTCCTGTCTCAGCCCAGGTGCTAAGGTCACAGGTGTGAGCCCCCAGGTCAGCTCCGCCATGCCAGTCTGATGAGTCTAATGCCAGGCAGATGAGAGCTGAAGTGTACCCATTCAGCATGGAGGCAAACAGCTTGCAGACTTCCACGAGTGACTCTGCTGTGACCTCACCCACAAGCACCCCCCTAACATGGCTCGTGCACAGAAGCCGCCAGACTGGCACAGACCTGGGGACAAGCTCAGTGACACTCAGCAGTTTTGCGTCTCAGCAGCGAGGACGCACAGCGGAAAGTCACTCCTGCAGCTGCTCTGAGGATGGGTTCAGGGTCCGAGTGAGGAGAGGGCTGAAGTCACTGCGCCTCAAGGGGAGGTGGTGACCTTAAGGAAACAGCCTTGGTTTCCCTGGAGGAGGAGCGGGCACTAGTGTGACCGCCCCATAGAGGTGCCCGGGCCACCTCTGAGTTCAGGGCCAGGTACAGCAGGGAGCTGCAGCAGGGTTGCCTCCCTGGGACAGCTCTGAGACTTGGTCCCTCTCCTCAGCAGCGACCTACCGCAGACACACACAGAGGCAGGGAACGCGCCTCTTCTCAGCGAACAAGTGTACTCACATGCTGTGTGCCCAACCTGAGCAGCCAGGTGATAGCACTGCAGGGCGCTGAGACAGCCTCCTGGGTGCTTGATCACTACGACCTTCTCATCTGTTTCCCTCGCAGCCCACACGGGGCAGAAAGAGAACAGCCTCAGGAAGCTGCCGGGCTCATGGGGGTGAGCTGAGGATGCGGCCTTGAGGCTGGTTGTTACTGGCACTACAGATCACCTGGTCCCAAGAAGAATGCCAATCAAGGAGCAGAGTCATAGTGTATTAATTCAAATTAACAGTCACAGACGTAGACAGAATCCGTAGCTCTGAAGAAGAGTCACAGATGAAGAGGACCATAAGCAGCCATGGGAACAACACGCTGTGAAGTGGAGGTGAATTTGGATCCTTTGTTTGGACTTCGAGTTTTGAAGCATGAATAGGAGTTTTTCGGACCCTCACAAAAAAGTCATTCCACATCTGGAGATGCAGGTGGCTCCCTGGTTAAGACTATGCTATGTAGCATAGCTGTTTCCACTGGCAAGAGGGCCACTCCCGAAGGAATATGCACCATTTGACTTACGAATCAACTCCCAGCCTGACATGCATCCACAGAGTGATCTTCTGATTCAGGTCGGTCTTCCCAGGCACATCTGCCACAGGGACTCAGAGCCACTCTTACAGGCTTTTAGCGGGTCCAGTTCTCAGAAAACTGTGCATGGCTTCTGGTTGCCATTGGCGACTTGTTTATCTTGACTGCTTGAAGAAAACTAATAGGTTACATGAACTTAAAAAAATATTCACAGTGTGGAGCAGGGACTTGGAGAAGACGGATAAACAAATTGACAGTTAAATGTCAGAGGAATATTCTCAATAATCCACAGTACCAAAAAAGGTGAATGTCACTTGTGGGAGAGGCTTAGAGAAGGCTTTTTCCAGTGGGTCATATGTAGGTAGGATTTTGATGGTTAAATAAGAGTTTATTCTATTCATATCAGCATGTAATTTGATGCTAATTTTAAAGAAGGTTAATTGATTTCTTTCCTTCAATTTTTAAAGTTTTCTTGGCATAGATAATAGCATACTCATCAGCATACAAGGTTTTAGGGATAAACCCTCTATGTTCACCTTAATCTGGAAACTTAAAATTTCTTTGAAGGACTCTTGAACAAAGTGAGCAGAGGGAGAAAAGGAGGAAGAGAGATGGCATGGTGTGGGCACTGGGGAGACTCTGGGTTGGTGTAGAAGGAATGAATGGATGAACAAATGAATTCCCAAAGGGCCTAAGAACCAAAAGGACCAGACTGTGACATCACTGGGGACGGGCGGGGGGACATGTGATACGGAGCTGCTGCCAGCGGTGCATAGTGGCCCAGCAAAAACAGGGGTCCAGCAGCTGGCTGGTGCACCTCGCAGGTTGGGCCTCCCTCCACATGGACAGAGAGGCGCCATCAACACGTGTCCCTGTCACACCCCAGGATGGTGGTCCCTTCTGTTCAACAGTGTGGTTAGCCATGGGGGATGAGGGACAGAGCCATGGCTGCTGGGGACCCCCGTTCAGGTCCCAGTGGGAGCCGGCCTGCAGAGCTAGCTTGATGGCAAGGCGTTGGAGGTGTAGGAGGGGGTTGGCCCACTCAGCTCACGCAGGACGCTGAGGAAGGGGGTGTCTGTAGGGTGGATGGCAGGTGAGCTCCATTTCTGCAGCCCCACAAGGAGCCACGTTCCGCAGAGGATTCGGGAGTGACGATGGCAGGTGCTGTCAACTATATTTTGGAAAGTCGCTACTTTGGGCCCCAGACTCCTTTTCTGTAAAACCACCGCCCACACAATGGTTTCTGAGGTGAAAAGACGTGGTGGCCCAGGGGCCTTTAGGGTGTGAACATCTGCACCTGTACGCCCTTGGAACCACCTTCTGTCACCAACGTACAGTCTCAGGAATTGGAGCAGGGGAGGCCTTGGCAGAGGGAGGTTGGCTGTTAGGAAAATAAAGGAGGAGAAAGGAGAGGGGAAGTCAGGATGTCACTGTGCTTCGTGGAAGTCTGTTCAGGGTCCTTGCGGTCTGCGAGGGAAGGGTCGCCTGGCTGTATAGGGGACTTTGGGACTTGGTGCTCCAGTTGGGAGACCATCCAAGCTCTTGCATACACAGGTGGGTTCCATAGCCCAGGATTGGGGGCCTCCGTTTTTGGCACCTCAGATTCCTTTCCTCACCTGCGTGTGGAAGGAAAGGTCACAGTAATGACCAGGGAGTGCTTGGTGACCATCCCTGATTGTAATGTCAGGAGTCACGGACTCCTGTGTGCATCCACCCATGCTACATGCAGAGACCATGGGGTGGTGGCATAGGTGTACAGAAGGAGGCCACTAAATGTCTCCCCTGTGCTGACCAACAGGGTCTCCACCAGCCACGAGTCCAGATCAGAATGTTTTGTAAATTTAAAACATGCACCAGTTTTTGAAGATCTAGTATAGAAAAAAAAAAAAAAAGAATATAGAGGTGTCTCATTCATTAAAATTTTATATATTGTTCATATATTGAAATATTTGCATATCTTTGTAATATGCAAATTGAAATAATTTTCTTAATTAAAATGTACTGCATTAGTTTTCTATTGCTGCTGTCTCAGACCATTGTTTGCTGCTGTAAGAAAGTACCTGAGGCTAGTTACATAATAGAGTAAAGAAGTTTTTTGAGCTCACAGTTTTGAAGACCAAAAGTAAGATGAGAAGGCCACACTCATTAGCCTTTAGTGAGGGCTTCATGGCCATCACAACACAGTTTGGTGGCATTTGGTGGGAGTCTCCATGGGGGAGGTCACGAAGTGGTAGAGGAAGCAAGAGAAGGATCTGAGGAAGCCAAACTCACTCGATGACCATCTGCTCTCACGGTAACTAATTCAGTCACACAAATGGAATCCAGTTTCAAGAGAACTAATCCAGTCACTTGAGAAAGACCTTACCCCATCTGCAGGGCTGAATCCCTTGTGACACCGACTGTCTGCTCTGGCCTTACTGCCTGAGACGGTCACAAGGGGCACTGAGCTTCAGCATGAGCGTTGGTGGAGACAAACTCCCTGCGAACCACAGCGGGGCAGAACACATCGCCACAGGCACCTGGCTTGGAACCACATCTGTGTGTGGCTCAGGGGTCCAGACCCATTGTAATGGGGTTCCCTGCTCAGGGGCCTGAGCT